GAAAAGAAAAAAGAACAAGTGTTGTGAGAATGTGGAGAAACTGGTGGGCTCAGTCGGTTAAGCACTTGACTCTTGATAACTGCTCAGATCCTGATCTCACAGTTTGTGGGATTCAGCCCTGTATTGGACTCTGTGGAGTCTGCTTGGGATTCTCTCCCCCTCTCTGCTCCTCCCCCACTCAAAATAAATAAATACACTTAAAAAAAAGAAAAGAAAAGAATGTGGAGGAATTGGAACCCAATGCACTGTGGGTTAGAATGTTAAATGGTATAGCTGCTATGGAAAAATGTTTGGCAGTTCTCAAAAAGTTAAATAGTTCTACTCCAGGGTATACCCTGCACTTCTACTGCAGCAATTCTACTGCGGGGGCATACCCAAGAACTGAATACAGGTGTTCAAATAAAAGTTTATAATGAATGCTTGTAGCAACACTATTCACAACAGCCAAAGGGTAGAAAGAACCCAAATGTCTATCAAATGATGAATGGATAAACAAAATGTGGCATGCCCATACAATAGAATATTATTCAGCCATAAAAAGGAATAAAGTACTGATACTAGAACATTGTTGAACCTTGAAACTATTATGCTATATGAAAGGAACCAGACAAAAGGCTACATATTGTATAATTCCATTTGTATGAATATCCAGAATAGGCAAATACATAGAAAACAGATTAGTGGTTGCCAGGGCCTGGTGGGAGGGGGAAATAGGAAGTGATTGCTTAATGGATATGAGGTTTCCTTTTGGGGTAATGCAAATGCTCTAGAATAGCAGCAATGGCTGCCCAACACTGTGGATGTACTAAAAACCACTGAATTATATACTTTAAAATGGTTAGAACAGTGAATTTTGTTATATGAAATTATTCTCAACAAAAATACAATTCTATCCCTCTTCTATATGAAATAGTATCTGAAAACATTTTTATGTCTTGAGCTCTTCTCTTAGGAGTGGAACCAACAATAGCCACTAACAACATTAGCTTTAGAGTTTACAAAACACTGTACCATACAATTTTATATAACTTTCACAACCCATGAGGTAGCTATCACTCCAACTTATACAGGCTCAGAGAGATAGAAAATCATAGAGCTAAGAAGTGAGAGAGCTAAAATAAATAAAATAAATAAAAGAAAAGAAAAGAAAAGAAAAGAAAAGAAAAGAAAAGAAAAGAAAAGAAAAGAAGTGAGAGAGCTGACTACTCAAGTCAGACTGGGATGGCTCCATTTTATTAACTGCCTCCATGGCAGACAGCTCCAACATCTGATAAGCTTGAAAAAGGACAGGAGATGTCACTGTGTACAACGTTCTTGGGCAATTTTCTTCTTCCAAAGTTAGTATTTTTTTTTTTTTTTTTTTTACTATTTTTTTAAGTTTATTTATTTTGAGAGAGAGAGAGAGTGGATGCGAGCTGGGAAGGGACAGAGAGGGAAAGAGATTCCCAAGCAGGCTCTGCACTGTCAGCACACAGCTAAATGTGGCGCTCGAACCCACGAACCATGAGATCATGACCTGAGCTGAAATAAAAAGTCAGACCCTTAACCAACGGAGCCACCCAGGAACCCCCAAAGTTAGTATTTTAATTAAAGCATAAGAATATCCACTGTACACAAGTTAATAAAAGTTTTTTAAAAAACAATCTAGATTACTGTGTAACAGCAGCATAAAGCAGGACATTGCAGATTTCCTTTTCTAATTTTTGAAAAATAAGGGTTTAAGTTTCTCAGTTCAAGATATTTTATTTTTTTAAATTTTTTCAATGTTTTTATTATTTTTATTTTTGAGAGAGACAGAGTGCGAGCAGGGAAGGGGCAGAGAGGGAGGAAGACACAGAATTGGAAGCAGGCTCCAGGCTCTGAGCTGTCAGCACAGAGCCTGATGCAGGGCTTGAACTCACAAACTGCGAGATCATGACCTGAGCCAAAATCAGATGCTTAACTGACTGAGCCACCCAGGCACCCCCAAGATGTTTTATAATGTTAGCATGTCGCTCACCAGTGAAGTTCAGTTTACAAGGTATGGCAGTAATGAGATAACTGTGCATGTTCCTTATACAAATGACTTCATTAAATTAGTCACATTTCCTTTAAGGATTAACTAATGAATGACATCAGTGGTTTTCTAACACTGGTGAGTCCTATGTTTGTTCCTGAGAAGCAGAGGGTTACCCAACCCTATATCAAGCAGAGCAGCCTCTTAATTGTTTTCCATACTGGGTTGTTCCTTAAGATATTATTTGAAGACAGGATTCCACAGCTTTAAAAAAAAGTACTTACTGAAAACCACTATAGTACATACATGTATTCTCACTTCCTTTAGAGGTTTTTAAAAATCTCTGCAGATTAGCCAGCATTACATAATTAAGATTATCTTTAAATACCAGCATAGAAATAAATACCAAGGGGGTTTTCATTCTACACTTAGTTTATGAGTGGTCTTATTTTTCCCGGCTCATTTCAACCATCTTGGTAATCCCCATTTTATAGAGAAGGCACTATAATCATACACTGACAAACAAGTGACTTGTCTCAGGTATCAGGGCAAAGTATGACCAGTGTCCAGACATGGAGCCACACCTAGGTGGCTTAGCCTGCTGGATGGTCTACAGTTCAAAAAGCCTTGGTGTCATGTGGTCACTTAATGCACTGTGACCTGAAGGTACAGATGTCTCTATTTGTGGTACATGTAACACTTGAGCTGGCTATAGGCCAGTAAGGTTCAGAACCTGTGTCTGTTCAAGGGCAAAGATTAGCCTCTCTTCCTCCTATGCTCTAGGTGACCCCTCAGTTCCCTGGTTGCTTTTTGCTTCAAGCAACCTATAGTACAGCAGAAATTATGAAACAGGAAATAAAAGACCTGGATTCAATTCCTGGCTCTATTAGTATTCCCTTCATGCCTCAATTCTCTGGGCCTCAGTTTGTTCATGGTACTTACCTCATGGGCTATTAGGAGGATTAAATGAGATAGAGCAGTTCATATCATGTGAGCTACAGACCCCTGGGCATGTCTGGCCATAATACCAGAGGTATGAAAAAGCATATAATTGAGCAAAAGAACCACTAGGTATTAAGATTAAAAACCCTGGAGTAAAATTGTTTGGGTTCAAATAATGGTTTTATCACTAGAGCAAGTTACTTAGCCTTTGTCTCAGTTCCTCATTTGTAAATGGAGAAAAAATTACCTTACTGGATTATTATGGGGATTAGCTAAATCTATGCACCTAAAATACTTAGAATGTGGCTGGCATAGTAAGAATTCAATAAATATGAGCTATTGTTACCATTATATATGTGATTGTATATTCTTTACAAAGTATTATCATGTGGGTGTTTGCCAAGTTTTTATGTTAAAAAAGGGTTGCCCATGAAAAGATTACAAACTTCTAAGAAAAAAATCCAGTACACTACACCTGCCATGCCCTAATCCACAGTAATTAAATCTATGATTTTAATCTTTTCAAACCTATTGAGACTTGTTTTGTGGCCTAACATCTGTCCTATCCTGTAGTACAGTCAATGCGCCCTTGAAAAGAGTATGTATTCTGCCGTTGTTGGTTAGAGTGTGCCCTTTGGGTCTGTTAGGTCTAATTAGTTTTTAATGCTGCTCAAGTCCACTATTAAGTATTGATATTCTATTTGGTTGCTCTTTCCATTACCAAAAGTAAGGTACTGAACTCTTCAACAATTATTGTACAACTGTCCATCTCTCCCTTCAATTCTATCAATTTTTGCTTCACATATGTTGGGGCTCCTTCGTTAGGTATGTATGTGTTTATAATTATTGTATCTTCTTGTTGGATTGAACCTTTTATCGATATATAATGTCTTCTATGTCTTGTAAATTTTTTTGATTTAAAGTCTGTTGGTCTGATATTTAATAGCCACCCCAGCTCTCTTTTGATTATCATGTGCATGGAATCTCTTTCTCCATCCCTTTATGTTTAATATCTGTGTCTTATGAGTCTCTCATGGTTGGTTTTTTTTTAATGTTTATTTATTTATTTTTTGAGAAAGAGAAAGAGAGAGGGAGGTAGGGAGGGAGAGAAAGAGAAAACACAAGCGGGGGAGGGGCAGAGAGAGAGGAAGACACAGAATCTGAAGCAGGCTCCAGGTTCTGAGTTGTCAGTGCAGAGCCTGACCCGGGGCTCAAACTCACAAACTGTGAGATCATGACCTGAGCCGAAGTTGGACACTTAACTGACCAAGCCACCCAGGCACCCAGGTTTTGTTTTGTTTTTGTTTTGTTTTTAAGTTTATTTATTTATTTTGAGAGAGAGATAGCATGCACATATGAGCAGGGGAGGGGCAGAGGGAGAGGGAGAGAGAGAGAATCCTAAGCAGGCTCTGCACTGTAAGCACAGAGCCTGATGTAGAGCTCAATCTCACAATGAGATCATGACCTGAGCCAAAATCAAACGTCGGACACATAATTGACTCTTATTATACCACCCAGGCACCCCTCTCATGGGGTTTTTTAAACCAGTCTGCCAATCTCTGCCTTTTAATAGAAGAATTTAAACCATTTAAAGTAATTACCAATAAGGGAGGGTTTCCTTCTGCCATTCAGCTATGCATTTTCTATATGTTTTATATGTTTTGTTCTTCATTTCCTCAATTATTACTTTTTTTTTTTTAATCTAAATCCTACCTGTAGTATTTACTCGGAGGCTTGGTCTTCCCAATAAAGTGATCACCTCTCCCTCTATTTGAATAGTTTGTGATGAACACCTCCTCATGAATCTGTCCCAAAATGTTTACAAGGGAAGACCTACCTTTTCTGGCCATGGAAGTAGCCTTAGGTTCTATCCCTATTTTCACAATCTGGATTACTTGCCTCTTCAACACACATTTGCCATACGCTCTTCACCATTCATATATAAAGTTTATTACTATTGTCCATTCCCCACCTATATGTGGCCTGGGTTAGGCTGGACCCCAGAATACTAAGGGTCTTTTGATGAATGTCATACAAAGAAGTGAGAGGCAAAGTAGCTTACATTGTAGGAGCGGGGGTGCCTCTGTTTCCACTGTACCAGGAGCAGCTGGGCCACCACCAAAGTAGCGATGAGGATGAGGACCATTTCAGCGTGCATGGCTTCATGGCCACGGTGCTTGGCATGCATGCGTGCGTGCTCAACCCTGAAAGCCAAACAGATGAGGTAAGGCAGGTCAGGGATGGTGTGATGGTAAAATAGCAATGCTTTCCAGGGATATCCCACGATCCCATAGCTCAGAACATATTCTTGTGCTTTGCAGCTGCAAGGTACTGTACAAATTAGAGGATAGAAAAATACACATCTTAGAGAACAGGCATTGGGGGGTAGAACCAGAGCTCTGTGGGCCCCAGTCAAAAACTCAGCTACTGGAGTTAAAGGTGGGTTGTCTGCTGCCCACCTGCAAGAGCAGAAACAGCTGACACCTTTCCTGTAGGAAAGAGGTCCCAGGTGAAGCCTGTAGTCCCTGCCCATTTCAGTCCTATTTCAACCTGTCACTGGAAGGAGAAAGTAACCCAGAGAAAAGTTTATAGCTATAAAGTCTCATAATGCTACTCAGTGATATTATGACACCAATTAAGAAGTAATACTGCAGATGTGTACTAATTCCAGGGTTAAAGTCTTGCTTTATTTGTCCTACCCTCTCTGTCAGGACCAGGGATTCTGAAAGCTAGTTAATGCCTGAAAAATCTGGACTGCTTCAACTTTATACTAATTCAACAGTGACTACACCATCAGTGTCCACAGGTAAATAGCCTCCTCAAAGGCTCAAGGAAGAGTACAACCGAAAACTCATATAATCTAAGGCAGGCATTCTCTGGTCCAGAGGACTGGCAACAAGTGATTCCCTTGGCCAATATAGGCAAAGAGCTTCCTCTAAGAATGCAAAAGAGTCAATCCTACCATTCTGGGTCAGAGTGAGCCAACACAGAGAAATAAGGAAGGAGTTAGAAAACTAAATATAAATACAGCCTGTAGTCAGGAGCTTTTATGCAAATTCTCCATGCATGGGGATATTAGGGAGAGAGGGATAGGACAACATAAATGGTATCTTCATAGAGTTCCCAGGAGCAATGAGAGACTATGCAAGAAGAACCCAATGGGATGAATTACATAAGAGATAAATGATAAAGCAAAAAGTTAATTGTACAATCTAGATGGTGGGTATAAAGGTGTTTACTGTGTAATTCTTTCAATTTTTCTGAGATTTTTCATAATAAAATGTTAGGGAAGAAACATGGTAGGGGAGTGGGCAGCCAAATGTCAGCAGCCAGCCACAGCACCTAAGGGTTTATCCTAGGTGGGAGAATCTGACAAAAAGAAAATATGGAGTATAAGTCAGAAAAACTTAGGTTCAGACATCCATGTGGCCTTGGCCAAGAAAATTCACATCTCTACATCACAATTTCTTCACTTGTCAAAAGGAGTCCATATCTTTGCTGCTTCCCTCATAGGGTTGTTGTGAGGATAAGCTAAACTAAAAGGGCAAAGGGCATTTTAAAAACCTAAAGACTGTGGGGAGTTATAAAGATAACAAGACATAAATTTCTTATTCGCAGACAGTATATGACTGAATGGATGTACACAACAAAAAATCAAAGAAATATCTAGAAAATACCAGAGAAGATCTAGTTCAGGTTCCCACCCAATGCAAACATTATCTTTATAATATTTGTTTGAATACTTCCACTGGCTGAGAACATCTGTCTCTTAAAGTAGTTAGGGAACTATGTGTCTGGCACATTGTAGGTGTTCACATGTGTTATGAAGAAATAAAATTCCAATGTTTTAAGGGCAGAAGTTCACTATACCACAATTATTAAAGCTGTATTGGGGCGCCTGGGTGGCTCAGTCGGTTAAAGCTTCCGACTTCAGCTCAGGTCACGATCTCGCGGTCCGTGAGTTCGAGCCCTGCGTCGGGCTCTGGGCTGATGGCTCAGAGCCTGGAGCCTGTTTCCGATTCTGTGTCGCCCTCTCTCTCTGCCCCTGCCCCATTCATGCTCTGTCTCTCTCTGTCTCAAAAATAAATAAAACATTTAAAAAAAAAAATTAAAAAAAAAAAAAAGCTGTCTCTGATAACGAGACAAAATATCTATCTATAGCTTCAATCCGTTGGACCTAATCTTATACTCTGGAACAACAAAGGAAATTTTCACTCTTCTTACCCAGCGCTGCTCTTTCAAAGATTTGTCATGATCTTATTTAAAAACAAAAACTATCCTCTTCCTACTATCACTTTTCTGTGCCCTTTTAGGCTAACGGTTCTTTTCAACACTATTCATATAATATAATGTGAAAACCATTAAACCTGGTTGCCTTCTTCTAGACATTATCTAGCTAAAGATCTTCTTAATATACAGTGTTTACAACAAAATCAATGTGGACTCAGTGAAGCAGAGCACGGTGGAACTATCACCACCCTAAAGCAGATAATATATTTTTAGAAACATCTTCCAAATTTTGGAATGTTTTGATAGCTGAGGTACAAAACTAGTACATATTAAGCTTACAGTCACCTAAAATCTTGCTGGGTTTGTCATATAAGTTGATATCTTTGCAATTCTCCATTTTTATAATCTAAATGAAGGGGGGTTTTGCACTATTAATAAAGTCTACATGGTTGATTTCAGCTCATTGGTCAGCTACCTTGTGAAGTTTGTGGGGTAAGCACTCTGAAAGTTCTTTACTGATGAGTAATCATGACAATATTTGTTGACTCACTCTGGTTACAAAACATGTTAGTAGCAGAGTTGAGATCAGAAGACACATCTCGCATTTTTCAGCCAGAGCTCTCTGCCCTGTTCATGGATAATGATATTAATGACGATAATCAACTGGAAAGCAGGTGAACACTTACTGGAAGCTTACCACATGCCAGGCATTGTTCTAAGATTTTCACATATATTAATCCCCACAACTACTCTATGCGGTATAGGTACTGTCGTAATCTTCATTGTGCAAACTGGTAAAATTAAGGTAGTAAGAAACTAAGTAACTTGCCGAAGATTGCACAGCTAGGAAATGGCAGAACTAGTAGTGTTCAAACCCAAATAAATGGTTTGGTGCAATTACCTATTTACTCCCCAGGACTGAAGGAGCTACTCAGGAGTGACCCAAGTACTGGGAAAGATCCCAAATGACCTGTCTTACTGGTCAAGAGTCACTGCTTCCCCACAGCCAAGTTAGCAAAAGGGAAGATATACAACTCTATTAGTAGGATTAATTTATAGTTTCCAGCCTAAGGGGCCCACACTGTCACACTTACCTCCATTGCTCCTCTGGGGAGAGGTCCGACATATCAACCTGTAGAAAGACACCACAAGAAAAATCCATTACTGTCTGAGAACTATCCCTGCCCAACATAAGGTGCTCATACATTCATCATTATCTTCAAGGAATTACAAGAAGCTTTCAAGTGTCGTAATCTGTATGGAACCTTCCCCAACACTCTATTTCCCACTGATCTCTCCCTTCTCTAACCACTTACTTTGTCTCATGTCTATGACTGACAGTATATTGTATGTATATGCAAGGCAATGAGGATAGGAGAGTAACTCTAACCCCTAAGATGTTCACAGCCTTGTCAGGAAGTCACACATATATACAGAAAATTTCTTTATTATATGCTGAGGACTAGTTAGAGAAGAATAAAGAAATGGCTTCTGATCCAATCTGGGGTGTTATAGATTGGCAAGACTTCCCAGAGGAGATGTGAAATATCATCCAGATGAAAAAATAAGAGAAATAAATGTTCCAGGCAAAGGGACTAACATAAACATGAAGGAATAAAGTTGCACAGCATACAAATAAATGAGTATGGCTAGAGCAAAAAGTATGAATCAGAATTAGTGGGAGATGAAGCTAAATAAAATATTTTGTCATATAATGCTGTTTGAGTCTAAATGGCTTTATGGCATCAGGCAAAACATTAGACTAGGGTGAACTAAGCTTCAGTCTCTGCTCTGTTATTAACTAGTAGTATGGCCTTCCAACTTCAAAGTTCTGGTTCTATTTGTTAGTCTTGTCCTTTTAGAACAGGGTTTCTCAACCTTGACATTAGGGATATTTGAGACTGGTTCATTTTTTTGGTGGGGTGGGGAGTTCTCTGTACACTGTAGGATGTTTTAGCAGCATCCCTGGCCTCCACCCTCTAGATGCCAATAGCATCTCCACAGAAGCAACAATGTCTACAGACATTGTAAAATGTCCCCTGTGGAAAGAAAACTGCCTCCAGTTGAAAACCACTGCCCAAAAATAAACTCTTTGAGTTCAGGACTCAAGTCTTCTGCTTCCTTGCAGCCACACAAAAGCATACCCAAGTGTCAGTACATAAGTCAAAAACATTACTTTCATACATTCTTTTACTGACCTGAGCTGAAAATGTTTCTTGATGTCGAGAGGAGAGACAATTCTCAAATGTATCAATCAACAAATATTCTTTTAGTACCTATGATGTTCAAGGCCCAATTTCCCACTGTTCCTATGATAATTTCAGAAAAGTACTTTACATGGAATGTTTGATTTAAAATGGGCAGAACTCTCCTACTGAGTCAAATCAGCACATATTTACCAGGCATCCTTTTATGTGTGTGTATTGTGTACTCCCATCACTCTTTAGGGAGGGCTTTCTGATTTCTACATGTCCCAGCTAAGTTAAAATAAAACAAAACAACAACAACAACAACAACATCTCAAGGCTTCACCCAGCCAATCAGGATAATGAAGTCAACCACCTCCTCTCTTTTCCTAATTCACACAATGCCTCACAGAATATATTCAGGTGTCCTGACTCAGGCTTTCATCTCCCCCAGAAAAAAAGAGGCCCCAGAGTATCCCAGAAGGACAAGTAGATATAAGAAATGGAAATGCCCGGGGTGCCTGGGTGGCTCAGTCAGTTAAGTGTCTGACTTTGGCTCAGGTCATGATCTCATGGTTCATGAGTTCGAGTCCCACATCGGGCTCTGTGCTGACAGCTCAGAGCCTGGAGCCTGCTTCGGATTCTGTGTTTCCCTCTCTCTCTGCTCCTGCCCTGTTCACACTCTGTCTCTGTCTCTCAAAAAGTGAATAAACATTTAAAAAAATTAAAAAAAAAAAAAAAGAAAAGAAATGGAAATACTCATTTGGGCAATACCTGAGCAGACAATTAAGGACCATATTTCTAAAGAAACAATCCATATGGTTTCACACTACGTATCAAAACTCTTTTCCTTTTTTCCAACTTGAACCTGCATCTTGCCAAACCAGTCTGTTCATTGTCCCAAAACACATGGGTCTCATTCCTGTCTCTAGCTTTTGCATATCCTTCCTTTTGATTGCCATGTCTCCCTCTCTTTTTTCCCATCCAAGTCCAACTTGTCCTTTGAGGAACCAGCTGCAATTTCACCTTCTCTGGAGAAGCCTTCCCTGATCCTCTAGCTTAGTGAATTTGGCCCTCTGGTTTTCTCAAGCATGGATTTTTCTCCTTCTCACTCAAAGTGTGGTACAAAGGCTAGTGTCAACTTTATCTGGGTGCTTGTTAGAAATGCAGAATCTCAGGCATCACTCCAGACCCACTGAATCAGAATTTTAAAAAAAAAAAAAAAAAAAGTTTATTATAAGCGTGAGTGCATGAGCATGGGGAGAGGCAAAGAGAGTAGAGAGAGAGAGAACCCAAAGCAGGCTCTGTGCTGTCAGTGCAGAGCCTGACACAGGGCTTGATCCCACAAACCATGAAATCATGACCTGAGCCGAATGAAGAGTTGGATGCTTAACTGACTGAGCCACCCAGGCACCCCCAGAATCCTCCTTTTAATAAGATCTCCAGATGATCTGTATGCACATTAAATTTTAGAAGCACTGTTCCATGCCATTCATTCATAGTCTTATGTTATCTTAGACATGATTGCCAAGTGATCTGCTTCTTAAGGCAGGACCAGCATTAAGGTCGGGGTAAGCAAGGGACCTAGGGCTCAAAATTTAAGGAGGCACTCACTGTCAGGTACTAATCCTCCACTTGCATGACCTTGAAAGTGAGTGTCTCCTTAAAGTTTGCATCCTAAGTGCCTCGTTTGCTTCACTCTATTCCTAGCCTGCTTTTGTGTAACTTGCTCCCATCCCATAAACCTGGAAGATCCCACAGCGCCAAGGAGAATACACAGCTTTGTGTCTTTCAAGGAGGACAGAACAGAGCTGAGCATATATTAAGCACTCAGTGAGTACTAAAGGAATTGAACACAATTCTCTACAATATGATAATAAGTATGCTGACAAACCAGCACCTTACCTGGAGATGCTTAAATGGGAGTATAAACAAACACTTGAAAAGTACTTAATAAGCATCTGGGAAAGAAGTATTCATTTGACACCAGGAAGCACCCAGAAAATCATGTTTAAAAAACTCTATGTCAAAACAAAACAAGACAAGACAAAACCAAGACAACATAACTACATGTTCAAAGAAGCCAGACAAGTCTATTGAAGGAAAAACTAAGGAAGATCCAAAGAACTAGGCCAGACACAGGGGTGCCTCTCCATGAGATAGTGGTCAAGCATGCTACTGTCCATATAGTCTATACTGTCTCTCCATCTGGAAAATAAAGAATAAGACTTCTGATTTCATTGTGGGGCTGTGAACGTAAGAACATTCCAGATCACCATGCGATTTCATTGCCTTTCCTCCTGGGAGAGTGGAAGTACTTTATAAAGTAACAGGAGAGGCTGGGGAACCAAATGCTGGTGAAGCACAGAACAGTAATGCTTTCAGAGCCTCAGAGAAAACAGCTCAGAAAGGCAAACACTAAGGCTGAGATTGGACTTGGACTTACAGGACCATTTAGCACTTCATGGAGTACTGTGAATCCTAAGAGTAAAGATATGATTTGGCTTTAATATTTGCCTCCTGAACCAAGTGATTATTTACATTACATACAAACTGGTCTTCAAGTGCAAGTGGAAAGACAAGGAAAGCTCTAAACTACAATTAACCTGTACCATCTGGAAATACAGTTTTATTTGCTCCCTCATTAATGAGTTTATTCATCTGGGTCCAAGAAGACAGTCTTGATTGTGCCCTGTCCAGAGCTCAGGTTAGCTAACTAGGGAGGCTCTCTAGGCATGGTTACTGATTGATGGGCTCACATCCAACTCCCAAGACCCACATACAGAATGTTTTCTTGCCAACCAATCACCCCCCTCCTAGAAGCTCACAAGGCACCTAGTTATGCCAATCTACCTAAGTCCAGATTTGAAAGAATAAACCAAAATGTCAGGCAGAGGGCAAGAGAAAATTTCATAAAAATGGAAAATGGTCAGGTGTAAAAGACTCAGGGACCCACCCATGTAACCCCACAAATAGGCCTCCTGTTCCACCCCCTCAAGTATCAGATTCCCTCTGGTCTCTGAGTCTTTACACAGGCTGGTTACTTTGTCCATTAATGCCCTCTGTTCCACCAAACCAATTCTGCCTTGGTACAAAATGCTGGCCAAATCCTCCTGGCTCCAGGAAGGCTCTTTAGACTGACCCCATTCAATGAAGAAACAAATATCCTCTACTGCCTTGCTAAGCATGGGGCATAGTCCAGCAGCATCAGCACTGTGAAAGGTTATTAAGAAACAGAATCTCAAGACTCCATCCCAGACTTCCTGAATCAGAATCTACACTTAATAAGATAGCCAGATAATTCATACGCCCATTAAAGCATTGCTACTGCTGCTATTGCATCCCAGCACTCACATTCCACAATGTGTCCAAAGACATATACTTCTATGCACCTGATTATTCTAATAACAACTTTTCTGAGATCTAATTCACATACCATAAATTCATCCACAGTCCTTTTCGGTATATTCACAGAGTTGTGCCACCATCACCATTGTGTAAGTTTGAAACATTTTACCACCACAAGAAGAAACCACATACCAGTTAGCAGTCACTCTCCATCCTCCCCCAGCCCAAGAAGACACTCATTTACTTTCTGTCTCTATCTATAGATTGCCTATTCTAGACATTTCATAAAAATGGGATCATACAGTATGTGGTCTTTTGAGATTGGCTTCTTTCACTTAGCATGTTTTCAATGTTCATCAGGTTGTAGCATGTATTGTAGTTAATTCCTTTTTATTGCCAAATAACACTGCACTGTATGCATATACTACATTATATCTATCCACTCAACAGTTAATGGACATTTGGGTTGTTTATACTTTCTGGCTATTAAAAATAATGCTGTTGGGGCGCCTGGGTGGCGCAGTCGGTTAAGCGTCCGACTTCAGCCAGGTCACGATCTCGCGGTCCGTGAGTTCGAGCCCCGCGTCGGGCTCTGGGC